GATCGTTGATAAATAAGAGAAAGAAGGTGGGCGAAAGTATAGGACCTTGAAATGGCCGAGATAAGACCCCATCTGCTCGGATGGAGATGGTTCGCTTGCTGAGGAAACAACGAAACCGCGATGCAAGAGACAGGTGGGATCCGAACGTGGGTAATTTCGTCTGCAGACCTTCATGTCAAACGCGGTCGAAAGCCTTTGAAATGTCGAGCGAGACCATGTGTGTTTCTACGTGGTTATCTAATGCAGCCGATCAGGAATATGATGTGGTGTACAGAATTACAGAATTAATGTTTCGATTTAAACTACCAATGTTAGTGAGGGCTTTGAACTGTTGTGAGTTCGTAGGTAGACTCCGGATTTTGTGATTTCTGTGAGTTGTATTGTTCATTTGTGGTGTTAGCGAAGACCGTTAACCCAACCCTGAAACTTGGAGTAGTAAACCGTATAAGGCCTCAATAGATTGAGCGTGGTAATGAGCCGGTCGACAGAAGAACTGTCCACCTCCGGCATTTGAGGCGCTTGGTCAAAAAGGAACATTTCGCGAGGTGCAAGGTTGAGCTATCAGTCACTGACCGGGCCACCCATTGCCGACTATGAAACTATCCTGTGGAACAGATGTAGAGGCACACCATGCAGTAACAAAACCACTGGGTATTAATATTGCCTAATGCCATACAGTATCGTTTATCGATTTCTTAAATGCCCCATCGCGATGATTGTTTTCTGCGTTCATGTAACTTACCTAGACGGCCCATTACACACTGTTGGATCAATGAGGTGAATTTAGCTTTTGGTATTGGGTTACTATTAGTTACACAATAACATGCTCCCATAATCGTCTGTTTTGTAAACAATTTTGTACAACATGAGACATCTGTTTATCTTATGAGCGCAGTCATTGTGGTTAAAGTCCAACGATTGGTTGCCGTGGTTACCGGCAATTATTTTTTTTCCAAACGAAATAAAAATTTGCATCCCAAATAAATTGTTTTCTAGGCCATTAAATCGGATGATCGAGTCAAATCTATTCAAAATCAACTAAACAGTCTTATCGAGCGTTCACAAGGTCTAACGTCCATGGTTCAGGGGGCTCGGAACACAAACCTCCAGCTTCGTGAAATTCTGGGACAATACTTGGATACGTTTAAACGATTCACCACACCCATGGAAAAATTGGTTGCTGAACTTCCGTCGGTTAATCCGTTTGTGGAAGGTGAGCACTGCTTGACATTTGTTAGTTGTCACTCCTTTACCAGTGTATCATGTGCATGTTTTGTTTTGTTTTGTTTTGTTTTCTATGTCGGTTTGTTTATACAGAACTGTTAGTTTCAGTTTGACGCATTACAGACAGATGAATTGTGTCCTCATCGATGCGACTGTACAGTTACATTTGCCGTATATGAGTTATCACTTTGTCACACAAGCGCCAAACTCAACTGGGATGTCTTTTTGTCAGATGGAGTAGCAGTTGTTATACCCTGGTCCCTGTGCACACCATCCTCGTTGCTTTTCTGTTACTCTTCGTGCGATCTGCCGTAAGATCAAACTATCCGTTCTGCATGCATTAGTCTATGGAACCCGAGTTTTCACGACATAGGTGAATCCGTTTGGGCACAAATACCTGCGAGATGATCGGAGGACTCGGTGACAAGGATTGTGTTAGGTTTCCGGGATTGAGACCTAGGAATAAGCGTAATCGATGGTTCAAGCATTGAGTAATACAACCGATTGTCGTAAGCAGTAAGCGCTCGTGCATCTCAATCTCTCTGTATGTCCTTATTCTTCCAGTGTTCCCAGTGTTCCTCATGTGGACACTGCTTTCAACATTCCAGTCTTCCTTCTACTCCTTTATCCAAATGCACAGTGACCAAAACCGCAGTGCGAAGGTACATGTTTAATGGTTGCATCAGCTGAGANACTGAAACAGATGCATTCTCTATGTTCACCGATTTTCCTAATCTAAAATGAGCACTTTTTAGTTTTATCACAATTCTTGTGCACATGTACGATTTGATTGGTCTGATCAGGGCGATGATCGGGGTGATGAATGAGCGTCAAGTTGGATTGCTATCTCTCATTCGGTCACTCTATTCACCGAATCCAGATGACTCATGTCCACCGGGTTTGGAACGGCTTGTACACACTGGTTCCATATTGCTTGCACAATCATTGCTGCGAAAATGTGTTCATCTGTGTCCATGGGATGGCAAATGTCGTCGGATGGTCAAAATCAGTGGACACCACTTCTTATCATGTGAATGAGAAATCGACTCTTGTGGTCATCTGGGGTGACCCAATGATAACGTACTGAACATGGTGCAGACTACGGATAAGCATGTGTTCATCGTGGTGACAACGGGACGAATAAACCGCACAATGTAAAACAGGGATATATGCATCTGTGACAGTCAACGGTGGTAGGTGACCTACGGGGGAACCAATCAGAGTGCGGGGGATACGAGCGTTGATCCATAGTGAACACTGTGAAGGGACAGCACGAGAAAGCCTGCGAGTGTGCTCGCTATCGTGTCGGAGATTGATGCGACAATTGAGAGCGACAACACAGAGAGCAGCATAGTGAAAGCAAACCTGCTAATGGTGTCTGCGCATATACAAACGGTGTGGAGAACAGTCATCGGCAAGGATGAATGAGGCGGATGAAATCGATAGAGTGGATTCTAAAATTAACGTTTTTCAGGTCGTTTACTCTGAATATCAACGAATCTTTCTGGGCAACTGTTTTCTATTGATATTTTTCAGGCATTCTTCCTCTCCTCCTAGTTTGTCAGAAAAACAGATGATTTGGACTGGATGAAATAGTTTTTACAACTCTGCTTCCAAAGTAAAAGTTTTATTATTGTAATTACTTAAAAGCGGTTGCTTTTCTTGTCCCATAGGGTTTAACACAAACGGATCGATTTACGATTAATCGAAGAACAAGGAATGTCACAATTTGAATGAGTGCCCTCTGATGTGAGTGTTAGACGACAAGTCGAACGGTGAATGATATGGGTGATCAAGGTTCTGCGTTATTTGATATACTCAATTTACGTCCCCTCGAATTCGGCAATACTGTACGGAGTACAACCCCAGTGATTCCAGTTCCTTGCAGTTCCTTGACCATTTTGGTGACCGTTCTTTGTGGACGTTCCAGAATCTTACGATCGCGTTGCAGCCATGGATTCCACGGTAATCTGTATGTGGGGTCGATCGAGGCTGTTAAAACCGTGGGGGTAACGTAGCTTCGAATTTACCAATTCTCGCTTTATCGAAACTATATGTCTTACCGCGGTGAACGGCGTAATGGAGCAGTTCAAAGATTAACGACCTAGATCGTCTTGGGCAGTGGCCTTGAGATCATTCTCATCAGAGGCATACGGAAGTTCTTGATATCCCAAGAAGTACGGAAACCTAGTTTTGTGGCGTAGGGATACTACCTGACATTTTTATGCATTGAATTCGATGTCATTTTTGACCGACGATTGATAATTGTTCTCCGAGGTGCCAGTCAATCCTGAGGTTTTGTCAATGTTTACATCGTTTTGTTCGCATCGTGTGCAAACGTTAACGTTTGGGAGCCCCAAAATGTCCGTTAGGTCGTTTATGAAAACAAGAAAAAGTTGACGGCCAATCACGGATCTCTGTGGAGCTCCTCGAGTTACGCTAATCAGATCAAGTCTTGATCGAGAAACTCGAACTGTCATGATACGTTGTAGAAGAAATTCTTCTATCTGGCTCCGTACAAGTCCCCGAATTCCATACTCGTAGTTTTTTCAGTAGAGAGGAATCGAGGTACACTACGTCCACTGCATCACCGTGCTCAGCTGCTTTTGTCCACTCTTCTCGGTCCAGAACCAGGTTAGTGGTACACGATTGCGTGCGACGAAACTCAAGTTGCCCTAGGAATAAACGTTGTATTTTTCCAAGTGACTCTTCACATTGTCTGCAACAATTGATTCGCTAACCACAGAGTCGATCTTTTGTTTCCAATTTCACCTGTCCTTGTCTATCAGTACGCGTTCCCCCATTAAGATTTGCCAACCGAAAGTGCTTGACTGATTTATCTCGCTGAATGTCTTCTTTCGGTCCTTCTTCTTTGAAGTTCTTCAGATAAGTTATAATACATTCCTATGGGATCTTGTTCTCTCGCTGTTGTCACTGTTTCCCACATTGAACTGAGCAGTGTAGACAGAAATCCTCTCATCGAATCATTGCTTTGCGATATATTCAGTTTTTCTGTTTTGCGATGGAGCTGTGTGGGAGTGTTTTGCGCATTTCTTCCGATGAGTTTATTCGTAAGTTAATCTACGTTTCAGATACACCTTGCGACAAAATTATTGTACCCTTCTAGAGTTTTGCTCTATCTTCGCCCTCATCATCACCAATTTTTGAATCTAGACAACAACTAAATGAAAAGCCGCAATACAAAATCTCATCAAATTATCTTTAGTTTTAACGAAAATGTTTTGGGGAAAAAAAACTTTCATCGCGACAAAGTAATACCCCCTCCCTCATGGACTTCGCACACCCAGCTGATAACAAGAATCTTTTATAGGATCACTTCTGGCTTCATAAAATAGTCAGATGGTCTGATGTATCGCGATTCCACTGTGGCACGATATTTAAAGCGGAAACTGGTAAAAACCAGTCTTAAACGGTGGCACTACCAGGGTGTGACGGGTTTCGGGTGGGTCACCTGGCTCCTGTTTAAAAGCCACATAAACCCAATGGCGGTGTCCTGACAAAGGTCGATTTGACTGGCTTTTTAAAACTACGGCCACTTCCGAGGTGAGGGATTGCTTCCTGTTGCATTACAGTTCGCAAAGGCAAAGGCCAGATGTGCGTCCTCAAAATAAAAAAACAAACACTGAGTCACGCTGGGGACGTCTCTCGTACCAAACTCTTGAGTAACTTCATGATCGTGTCTTCTACTGCGGTAATCAGAGACATTTATGGAGCCGGCTTATCATTTTCAAGGTGCCAGCCGTAGTAAAGTAAAGTAATAAATAGATTGGACACCATAAAAAACTCGCAGGGAAAGGTAAGAACAGATGTCCACGTATGGCTTCGAACTCCATGAGTCATGTATAAAAAATGAAACCCGTTCTTTGGTTGAACCTTTGGGCGCGAGGGGTACAGTTAACAGTTGAAACGGTCTGTAGGGTAAAATACAAGAAAATGAGAAAGCACAGAGCTTGAACAATTTGACAAATAGAAAGATTTATTGCGGGCTATAACTCATGTAAGTTGCAAAACGAATGGAATTTTGTCTACTTTGATGACGAAGAGAAAGTCAACTTGGATGGACTGGACACTAAAAGGTGCTTGTTCTCGAACGTGTGATGTTCGATCATCGTAAAGAATCGTTTCCTCCGTTAGCTCATCCTTGTCTGTGCGATTCGTCTGTTTGCTCACGTAAGGAGCCTTCGATTCAGTTAACCGTGAATCCTTAACGGGTTCATTGCTTCGCGAAGAAATTCCACAGAAGTATGCGAAACTGTTTGCGATCATACTTCTGGTATTGTAGAAATCTACAGTGAGCTAAGCAAATCGTTCGACATCAGAAGCGGTTTTCGTCAAGGTTACCCAGTTTCACTCCTTTTTAATGGTGTCGTTGACGAAATACTGCAAAACGCACTAAATGATCCCCAAATTGTAGGGCATCTAATGGGCAACTGCAGAAAAGCTGTTCGATTTAGAATACACTGACGACATCGTTTTCCCGTTCGAATATGTGGAGGGTGCGCTCTTGACAAACTTTCATGTTCTGTAACGCCATTTGATATACGGTTTGCGCCTCCAAAGTGCAAAATAATGCTACGAGGTTGGCTGGCCTTTACATTGACACTGATACTTGATGATAGAGGATTTATCATAGTGGATTGTTTCTCCCGTATAGGTTCTTGTGTTACCAATGCTGGTAGCGTAGTTTGGGAAGTAACCGACTGCATTTCCAAGGCTTGAGCAGAGTACATGACTGAAACACTTTTGATGCAGACGTGATATTACATTGAAACTGAAGGGTCCCGTACACTGCGTCAGTGCGTGATGAGTTCTAATTTACGCCTATGAAATCCGTGTTTTGCGAGTGGAAGAAATTCATCGTCTAGAAGTCTTCGTTGTCGATGTTAAATTAGTTCAGCACGGGTGGGATGAAGCGAACTTGTGAGCAAGTAAAGTGTTAAGTCGTCGTGTATTTGGTAATGACTCGGCGGAAAATTCGTTATCTCGTAGAATTCGGATCATCAGGCTGCGCTGTTTAGAACAAGTATTGCGCATGTTTAGCTGACTTCTAAATCCCCGTGCCTTATTTGCAGCTGTGGCTCCAAGTTGAAGGAAACCACGTGGAGGTCAACAGATGACGTGGAAACGGGTCATGAAATGCACAGAGGGATTCTGTAGAGTTAGGTGTCTCCCATCTTCCCGGTTGGCGTCCGAAATGCTCTGCAACTGGATTGTTGGAGACACTGAATTTCATGGCAGCAAACCGACAGCTGTCACTTCTTATCAGACCATAATGTGTGCACAGTTAAGTTGTTTACCCTGTGTGTTGTCCATCGAAGTTCACTTCCCCTATCTCCCTCCACTTAAGTTCAATCCCTATCCATACTGTACTTTCTCACTTCCATTGTTCACATTGAGAGCCCGGCCACGGTCAACGAAGTTCACTTGTCTGTGTCTTGCTATTTGGCGATGATGACGATAATCGTGACTCGATACGTGAAAGCGACTACCGGTATGATCTGTGTCCGGAGCGGTACTTCACCAAGTGGATTGCCTATCAAAACTCCATCATGATAAGGAATGCCCTGTCAAACAGCGGTCCAACCGGACTCGCTATACTACCTGTGGGTTTCGAGGTGCCTGTGCCTATACTCGTACACTGAAACGTCGTCACCTTATGCTAGCAATGACATCAAATGATAACCCTAAAGCTATTTTCCAACAGGATATTACCATAGTTCATTACTTCGACCTAACAAAATTCTAGTTCATATTTCGCGGCATCAAAACAATGATGTGGCCTGCTCTTGTAGCTCAGATTTGACCCCATTGGGAAATTTTTGGGCTATTCTTGCCCGAAAGATGCACCAACACTCCAGCGTTTACAACATAAACGATGACTTTGAGGCTTTGTTATTTATCTAGTGGAGTAATATAGACACGGCCGCGATTTGAAATCTTATACGGAGTAGTAAAGTGGCCTCAACGGGTAAATTCTGTGAAGGAAGGGTGTGAGGCTGCAATACTTTTGTCGACGGGTGTCTTTCTGTAATATATCTCACTTAGCTCGTACTTTAGGCTGAGAGGATTAATGTAATTCTAGATCATCCTCTGGGTCGATTCGGAGTTGTTCCGTGTGTGTGCATCACACGCACTCCATGTATGGGCCAAATTCAGCCATGACTGAGGCGATATTCACCCCATGTGCATAACAACGATTGGTTTAGGCACTTCAATCTCCTTGCTTTGTTTCTCTCTCTCTCTCTCTCACACACACACCGAAAACAATTGCTTGTTTCCCAACACGTTTCCAGAATGTGATTCAAAATTTTCCAGGTTTCCTATTCTTCTATACTTTCGTTTCCTGTCACGTCTATCTAGACTCACATTCACATGTCAGTGTTTTTTTCATCTCACTAGACGAGTCACTGAAGGAAACAATGAACAAAGCGAAACGTCTGTTTGACAAAGTTGACGAAATGCGACGTCAGCGCACGGATTTCATTACTCAGCTTCGTGAGGCGTTGCACCAAGACGATATTACCGGTGATTTGTTGGCTTCAGCGGTCAATCGTGAGCAGTCTGATTTGGAAGAACTGTTTAAGACCCGTCTAAAAAAGCATGACTATCTAGTCGGTTTGCTGCGTCAAAATTTGGCCGCACAGGAGAATATTGAATCGGCATTGATTGATTTGAACGCGGAGTTCGCACCTCAGGCGATCAAACTTCGGGAAACTCGACAGAAGTGAGTATTGTTTTGCTTAACCTTGGTGATTTTATTTCATTTAATACTGGGCGCCGACCCTGTAGAGGGAAAGGAAATTGGGTTGGAAAGAGATGGGGCATGTTTATTCCCGTTCTGTCAGTGTTACAGACCGTTATACTCTCCTGTCGCTTAAACTAGAGTAGCAGGTTGGGATATCCCACTCTGATCCTTCGACAGAAGTCCTACCCACAAGAGGATGAGGCGGTTGCTCGAGACCGCGGTCCATTGGAACTCAGTGTGTTTTTAAGTGAAGACTAAGTTATGATGACCAGAAGCATGCCGCTTGAGGAGGACAGTCGCTAACTGTGTATAGAAGCACAAACCATCACAATGACGTCTAATCACTTGAAATGCCAGATTGATATCTGTCTGTTGTCACCATTCCTGTTTAACGACGCTATAGACCGGTTAATGCGTCTCATTCTCATAGGCTTTTAAGGAATTCAAGTTATTTACGCGAGTTGAACCGCCGATTTGGAATTATCTGGCAACACTATTATATCATACATTCCTACTGTGTGTAAATTCTGACTTTGACAGCGACCAGTGAATTTCCATTCATTATCTTTCGCTGTACGATAATAATGATATTTACAGTTCACAAATTTCACTGCAACGAATGTTGACCTTAGTTTTAAATCCTCCAAAACTTAGATCTTCGCGACGCTCCGTTCCATGTTGACGGTGAAACATCAGAGCAGGTGCACCAATTCAAGTAGTAACGAGGGATGAAGTGAGCTTCGTATGGATTGCCGAAAGAGAGCATATTCCTTCAAACTTTGACTTTGCAACAGAAAAAGCCTCTGAAGAATACCGCGATTACTGAGCTGACCGCGAAACGTGGCCAACTAGAAAAAATAATCAAGAACCTGGAAAGCTTTAACTATTCTGCTTTCGATATACAGCCGAAATTAAGTGGTTTGGCCGCATACCGTCCATTTAAGGTTATATCCTTGTTTCTCTAACGACGTCGTTTTCAGTTTTTCGGCTGTGTCCTTCGCTGACCAAAAACAGAATTCACAAAAGAGCCAATAATCGGCACCTTGTTCGACTTGAAAACGTCGTCTCAAGCGTCAACTAAAGTCACGGGTTAGTGAAGTTAGGTGGAATATAGGAGAACTAGGCCGTACTTTTAGATTTCGGACTAACACAACCATTAAATTCCACTGTACAACTGCTTTGCCGCAGGTACTACCAGAGATATCCAAGAACGCAACTTATTCCCACGCTGGTGTTTGTGGCAGAAGATTGGAAATGATTGAAGATCTGTAACGGCTCCGAACTAACTTCATTGAACACTATTTAGTCAACTCAGTATGACATAGATTCGAACAATTCAACCGATCTCCAAAGTTGATTACCTGATAGGTGTACTCGATATAACTGAAACGATACAATCCGCGAACAAAAAAAACGATTTTACGGAATAAATAGAAGCAACGAGGTCTATGTTGTCCTTCCTAACTGACATGTCTGCACAACATGTACATATATATATATATATATTTCATAGTAAGTAGTATGTGAATGACTGCACAAAATTTCCCTGGAAGCACACGACCGGTTTCGCGGCTCTTGCCGCTCGTCAGGGATGCGTATCCGGTAATTAATTAATTCACATGCTACTTATTATGAAATATTCTATAAAGACTATCAAGTCACGTTTGTTGCGGTTAGTAGCATCTAACTCACAAAAACATTGAATCATAGCATTGATTCTTCATTAGACTGGCTCTGAAAGAGCTGTCTATCCAAACGTCACCTAGCGATGTGAACAAGGTTATTGTGTCGAATATTTATATATTCCAATTTGTTCGCTTAAATTACGCCAGTCAATTTCAGTTTGGATTTCTGTGTCACGGATGTCGGTGGCGCAGTGATTTAGCCGCTATCACCGGCGTGCCTTGAACCCCAATTGTCCGAGGTNCCCGCCACTACCACCCAACTTCGGTTCATTACCACGCCTAACCTGGCGATGCATTATGTGGCTCATCCCACTCCAAGTGCTGGGGCTTAAGTTAACTGACCAGTAGATCACAGGTAATCGTAGATTGAAAATTTTATCTCGAGTAAATCCTGTAGGTGATTCTATCACACGGATGTCCACTGATTGATTTGTTTGATCATAAAATCGGTCTGTTACTGATGCTGCTGCTGCTGCTGTCTGGCTTGATCCGATAGCCGGTCCTAAGGCTCAAACACAGATCCACTTCGAAACGGTGCCGTTAAAATGTCAAGCGCTAGGTTCACTCTCGTGTAAACCCCTCCTGGATCAGTACATTATTCTCGGGTTTTTCGAATTTCTGGATAAGGGGTGACATCACGCTCGTGACCGGATCTGTCGAGGTGGAGTAACGAATCAGGCTAGCTTCAAATAGCAAAATATTGACCACACCGGTGTAGAAAAACGATCACACAAATACGGACAAAGTGATTCGAGAAGTGGATGTTAGGAACAGGTCAGCAACGCAGACGAATTGCTTTACACGGAACACGATTCAAAAATCACATAGAAAAACAGGAACGTAGTAGCCCTGTTTAGAGCAGAGAACTTAGGAGGAGAGAAAAAAAATAAATAGGAACTAAATGAAAATTAGCAGCTTACGCGGGCGGAGCACAAAACTATAACAGGTTTTGCCGGCATTTAAAACGGCTCTTTTATTTAATGCCACAAATAGCGATGATACTAATTTTGGACTTGAACGAATCACTCGCAGACAATCGGTAGTCACTTTTGGTAGCAGAGGATGTGCCATAGGTGGTTTCAGAAAGCGATCAATGTTCGTCGGTTTCATTGGCATTGAATTGAGTTGAGTTTGACAGTATGTGCTGTTTTTCTGTTTGTGCAAGAGTTTCCGTATTAATCTATCTGATTCTGTCTGCAGCTCTACTGTGCTTGATTGCCCCGTTTTGTTTCTATCCTGCAGAAGAGCCACTGAGCTAGAACAGCTTGTGGCCTCGGGCAAAGCATATGCCGATGTTGTGCAAAAGTGTCAGGAGGGCTTGCGATTCTACGAAGAGTTGACACGTCGGTTGACGGAATTGCAAAAGGAAGTAGAACAGGTAGCCGAACGTCTTGCTCTCGAGGAATCACGTTCCGTAGTGGAACCCATACCGCCGCGCGCGATCTCTTCGACGAGCTCTACAATGCCAGGTTGGTGGCTCATTCATTTTCGTCATGGGCGTGTCTGTGTCTCGTACATCATTAATTCATCATTTATTTTATTACGTGAACTTTTTCCAGAGAGCCGGCAAATGTCCCACAACACATAAATACAGACAACTGTAGAATGCGTTCGGAGGGTGCGTGGGCATGTGACCTCCCGGTTGCCTTGATCTAAGAAGCGGGATAACCTCGGCGTCCCCACCCGAAGCCTTTGGTTGGTAAGCCACACCTGAAAGACAACAAGTCAAGCAAGCCAAGTCAAGTCAAGCCACTTCACAAGCACGGATGATGTCGCTTGGTGATGAAACGTTTCCAAATAAATTGCCCAATTTGGCGAACACGCGAAATAGAAGTCAAGTCCAGTATTTGCTTTATGCACCCAGAATGGTGGCTATTCAGTAGTCACATATTCAACCAACAATTATCGAATAAAATTATAACAGAATTATTGTGAGCAATGGGAAAGAAAACAATTTACGAGATCACTGAGTTAGGTTCCGAAGCGAGGCGTTCTGGGCTGAAAAGAAATCGGGTAAGGTAGGGCATCACAGAAGACCGATAGACGGTCGTACGAGCAAATATACAATTATAGCGGGACCGGGTGGAAGAGGAGGATACACACTT